GGGCGGGCGGGACAACCCGCTTCACTCTCCGCCGGCTCGGGCGACGGCTTGTCCTTTCTGAGGCGCGGCGTCGAAAGAGCCTCTTTTGTCACGCCAATATGTCGAATCGCAGCTGGGAGACGACGTGCGGCAAGGGGACGTCAAACTGTACCTTCAGGTGTGCGTTTGGATGGCGTAAAGTACGCAGGACCGCTCTCGAGTCAGAATCACCGACGCGCCTTTTGATGTCCTGATCGGAACGGCTCGCGTGTCAAGAAAATGCATCCCTCCATTTTCTGATCCGCTCACCCTCGCGAGGGTCGTGCCAACGTGTCAACTTTTGGGGCACGTCTCAAAGGCACTTGACGCCGACGGCCTCATCGGGCCCTTTGATTTCTGCACGCGATTGTTTTTGTCGTTTGGGCCCTTGGGTGCCGTTTTTGAGTTCGCAAGTCCGGTTCCGAATCTGGTTCTCACTCGGAGTGAACACGAATGTCTTGAGCTTTGCCAAAAGTGAAAGGTGACGTGTGCGCGTGTGTGTGCGTGCGCATACCTGAGGTAAAAGCTTTCTCCGTACGGCAGAACGGAAAAGGCGGCGCACAGGGATCTTTTGGCGCAGATCAACACGATCCTGAAAACAACAAAAGGCACAGTTGCCAATCTCGTTCCAGCGGCTCCGCACGCGTCAAAGGCGGCCCGTGGGTGGCCATTTGATCTCATTGGAACGTGTCGGAAGACATTTTGGTCCCAGCAGAGGTAGCTGGCGTTGCAACGTTCTTTCCCTCCCGGGGCTACAAGGAGACACGTCGGGACTACGCAGCGCGGCCGTTCTTTGTCCAACTCTTGCGATCAAGACGGAGCCTCGGGCAGAGCTCATCGTTTGAGGCCCAGCGGAGCATTTTCTTTCGCCACTTCACGTGCGCACGATCTTTTCTTTTCTTTTCATTTCTGCGCGATGACATCGTGACAAGTGATCTACAAACAGCAACGGCGACGATCTATTTTGGAACAATCCGCCGCGAGTCTATGACGACGCCGCGGCTCCGCTCCTTTCCCCTGACCCGCACGTCGGATTCGGTCCGTCTGCAAGGAAGTGCGAGAATAGAACACAAAAGCGCACAACGCAATCACAAGGGAGAAAAAAAAAGAAAAAAAAAGCACAAAG